GCGTCAAGCCAACTGATCAAAATATAAAAATTCAATTCGACCTGTCCCAATCTTATAGCAGGCGTCCGATGGCATCCATCCGGATGAAATTCGTCGCAGAGAGCAGCTCCCTTTTGGGTGGAACATTGTTCTATAAACTAATCACACGGCACCTATACGACTGTCCCCAAGGGCAATCACGTAGCCGTTTTTGAGACAAGGATAACTTTATCACTAACCAAACTAGTGGTAACAGTTGACATCTGAGTCGGATTACCGCCTGTATTACTTGGGATAAATGCAGGGGGTACCTCTTGAGTTAATAGCCAACAAACATTGGCGAATCAAAAGGTTCAGCCGGCCTCCGCCGCCTGGTACCTTTACTACTCAAGCAGGAGTGACGGCGACTGAGTAACACCAAAGTTAACTCATAGTCACTCTCTCAAACTTAGTATGGAGCCTAAAAGGTATGAGTCGTCCGCATGTTTTTAGCAAACAGGGGCTCTCAACCACTACTCCTGCTAGGTTAACAACTTTTGAGTTAATAGCCAACAAACATTGGCGAATCAAGGGGTCCAGCCGGCATCTGCCGCCTGGTACCTCTACTACTCAATCTAGAATGAGGACGACTGAGTAACACCAAAGTTAACTCATAGTCACTCTCTCAAACTTAGTATGGAGCCTAAAAGGTATGAGTCGTCCGCCTGTTTTTAGCAAACAGGGGCTCTCAACCACTACTCCTGCTAGGTTAACAACTTTTGAGTTAATAGCCAACAAACATTGGCGAATCAAGGGGTCCAGCCGGCATCTGCCGCCTGGTACCTCTACTACTCAATCTAGAATGAGGACGACTGAGTAACACCAACGTTAACTCATAGTCACTCTCCCAAACTTGGTATGGAACCTCTACTACTCAATCACTCGGCGACTAGGACCGCCTGCCTAAAGGTAATCCAGTCATAGACTGCCTACAAGTCTAAGTAAGAAAACCCTTTGGTTAATTTTACTAATAACAGGACCGCCTGCCTAAAGGTAATCCAATCTTTTAAACGGGAACAATACCGATTGAATAAATGGCCGACTGATCGCCCAGCTTGGAAACAGACAACCAGTCGTCCAGGGGCATAGGCGGACCATCCGTACCTGTCTACAATCGGCCATGCAAAACAGTCGATATAGTGTACAATTCAATATCAAATATTCAACACTTAGACAAATTTGAAGCAAAAATTGCATTAAAGAAGAATAAAATATTCAGAACCCCGGCCCCCTGGCCGGGTAAATACAAGCAAACGGCACGCAGGCCGTGGAAAGAATACATAAAGCTTAAGAAGGGGGCAGTTCAGTATTAGCAGCTGCCGCCTGGTCAGCACTCTTCTTGCTGGACTCGGCTTCAGCTGCATCCTTTTTCGATGCCTTGCCCCCAAGTGGCACAAGCGCCACTATCGGCTGCTCATCCTCAACCAAGGCCTCCTCCAACGCCTCGTCCTCAGCAGCCGCCAGGATCTCTTGATTATATGTTTCAGAACACTGGCGGTACGTTTTTTCCCACGAGGAAAAGTCGGCACTGGGGAAGAGGCGGCTCCAGGTCATGCGCTGGATCTGGGAAGAGTCTTCCATCATCTCTCGGACGAGCTCTCTCTTCTCTTGCTCAGCCTTCTCCGAGAGCTCTTTAGTTAGACTCTTCTCCTGGGTCACCAGGCGTTCCTTTACGTTAGCCAAGGATTTCTCCATGGCTTCGTATGAGAGCATCTTTTGGCGGAGAGGTTTAAGCTCGGCCTTGAGATTGGAGACGGTCGCCTCCAGCTCGCTGTTCCTCTTCTGGGCCGCCTCTAACTGAGCCCGAACAGCGGCGGTAGCCTGCGCCTGATAATAAAGAATATCAATGGTCAGTACTTCATTTTGGGCAATTTGAAACATTGCCTTATCACAGTCAGAGGCGGCCATAGCTTTTGCAGCCTTTACCTCTTTGTTCTTCCGATCAAGCGGCTTGCGAAGGTCGTTCACTCGGAGCAGGGCCTAAGTAAAGAGAAAACATGCGTCAGTTTCCAAACAAAAAGATAACAGGCGTCCTGGAATTCAAATACTCAAAAGTACACCTCAGCAAGGACCCCTGCAATCCCATCAAGGTCAAGGGTGCCGACACCCCTGACCGCCTCCCTTTCAGATGGAGGAATTGCTTTGATCATGGACTTGGCTACCTCTACCAAGTCAGGCCCCTGAGGGCCGGCTGCATCAAGCGTAAAAAAAAAAAAAAGCAAGTTAGACCTAGTCAAGAAGGAAGCAAGTGTAAAAGTTTTTACAAGTAGTTGTCCATACTTCTAGGCGGCCCCGCCGGAGTTTTAGAAGAAGTGGCCGGCTGCTCCTCAGCCGCCACTGTTTTCCTGGAAGACCCAGGAGAGCTTGCAACAGTCGTCCTCCGGGCTTTGGGATCCGGCTGTTGCGAGGAAGAAGCTTTTGGAGTGCCCGACTAAAAAAAAAAAAAAAAAAAAAAAAAAAAAAAAAAAAAAAAAGAGTTAGTATATGCATAAGACAACAACTCCTAAAAGAGGAAGAGTTTCGAGGCCTACCAAGGGTGCCCCCTTGTTGGGGGAGTCGGTACAAGACTGTTGCATGAGAGAGGCCCGCAACATGGCCGCCGCAGTCTTGGATGCTGTTATTTTACTCATGGCGTCAGCTGCAAAAAATAAACAGCAAAGTTAGTAAAAATCCCAAGTAAACAAGGCGTGAAAAAAAAAAAACAGAGTATTTGTCAGGCCGGCTACCTCTAGAGCACCGACTGTTGAGGCCACAGGCGGCCAAAAAGTACTCGTCATAGAGCCACTTGAAGCTCGGGACGCAGTTCAGGGGTACTTGCTCTCGTACCCCTGAAGTAGAGTTCACCCTAGTCTCTACTTTGAAGAGTCCTTTGTCTAGGATCTCTTTTTTAGCCTTTGGGGGAACAGGCGGCATGCTGCGGCCGCCTGCGAGAAGAGGCGGATCCCTATTCCACTTGTTAAAGCGTTTGTTCAGCTCCGTGTCTGAACCCTCGATGATAAGGAAGGTGTTCCGCCAATCCTTCCATTTGTTCGCCTTACCTCTCGTCATGAGGTAGCCCCTATGGCTTGTTAATTGATACCAGCCGGTGCCGCCCGACTTAGGGGTCCGGCTGAGATAGTTCATGTGGGCGAAAGCCTCAAAGCTTGGCTCCACCCCGTACATTTCGCACCCGGCCACATAGCCGAGTACGTTTACCCAAGAGTTGGGGGCTAACTGCCATAACCCCAAATCATACCCATCTAAAATCCGCTGAACAGCCGGATGTAATGGGAAGCGCAGTCCAGCTTTGATGGCCGCCGCATAGCAGCCAAAGCAGCCGCCATCATAGCTGGTACCAGCCGGCCAGACGACAGTGTCTTCTGGATCCGGCACGAACAGTAAAAATCCGGGGCCCATTCTGTAGTTAGCTATAAAGCTCTCCACTTTGTCTTTCATGGCCGCGATCCGGCCCCGGGGTACCGTGCAGTAGTAGGGGGTGTTTTCCTCTCTGTAAGAGGCGGATGGCTCCGCCCAATTTCCCCCCTTCTCAACTGCATGAGAAAGCCTCGCCTCTTGTAGGAGGCTGTTTCTTTCTTCTGAGCCTGGAGAAGCGTGGCCAGAAGAGCTGGACTCGGACTCGTCCTCTGACGAGTCCGAAGAGGACGACTCCTCCCCTCTCCCAGAGGGGCCCGCCTCCTCTCCCTTAGAAGCAGGAGAAAAGTTAGACATATCAACGGTGAAATGGGAAGGGACCACCTTGACCCCTCCCTCAGAACTGACGGCTTGGCAGCCGCCTTGTTTCCCTTCTACATCTGGCGCCTGGTCAGACGTTTCACTAATGGGCACCCTTTGGGAGGAGCCGTCCGAGTTTGAGATCCTAGCAGTCTTTTTTGTTCTGGCCATCACGTTCTACATAGACACAGATACAGTCGGACTTTGTATAAAGGGCAAAGATGGGTCCAGAAAAGGGCAGGCGGCACTCCTAGTCCTAGATTCAGCCGTCCCCGGTGACCGGCTGATCACTAACTTAGGTCGTGTCGTGTGCTTCCATGGTGCCATTTCAAAAAATAATAATAAGAAAAAAAAAATTAAGAATAAGAGAGCCGACGGTTACCTGAACGAGTGACGACTGATGAAATTCTGAAATCCTTTGCAAACGGCTTGTCAGAGCAGGCGGTAGGCAACAAAAGTCCAAAGTGTCAGAGCAAGTTCAGGGGTCCGAATGTTCTCTCGCAAAGTTCTCAAATGTGAAAATGACCGAAGCCAACACTTCCTTATATAAGCACAGTGAGAAGGCAAAGGGTCGCTTCCAAATTCAAAATTTGGGCGGGAAAATCTCTCGGCCATTTGCAAGGTGCCACCTGCAGCAGGCCGTCGCCTGTCACCATGCGACGCCTGTCACAGGTGACACGTGACCAGTCACGTGCCACCTGTGAGGGGCAAATGATTAGGGGATTTTTATCCACCAATCACTTTCTGACAAGTGGACCAACCAGGTTCCGCCACGTGTCCTTCACGTAGGCCAATAGGAGCCTGCCACGTGTCAATCACAGATACGTCCTCTACGGACCAATCGAGACACGCCACGTGTCCACCCATGCCAAATGGGAAAACCGGCCAACAAGGCCCAATCCTGTTTAGAGGCCCAGTCAGCCCTAGGTTTACCCTAAACCTAGAGAGTGGCACGCTTCTCAAGACTATAAATACTTAATTAATCCTCATTAAAGGGGATTAAGCAATTAATTACTCTCACCTAGAGAAGTCTGAACACATTGATCTCTCCTCCCCTAGAGGAACCAGATCTTCCCCCTTTAATTTCCGCACTTATTACTCCTCAAACAAGTACTAACTTGACCGTTGGAGGCGGAGCTCCCAGGAGTCTCCGTTATTTTGCAGGTACAGGCGTCCAGTTCCAGTCTCGGTGTTGTAACTCTCCCGCAGGACATCAGAAAACCCCGAAACAAATATCATATATGAAAAGCTACAACAAATCAACTCTAATCTTAACATGAAAATCAAGCTTACCAATTTACTTTCTCTGCATAGAGAGAATGATATTCATGCGTACCTTTAATGATTTAACGACCTTATGCCAAGAATCACACTAGTTATCTCAATATTTGAACTTCCATCTTGGCTTAAATACAAATACAGACTTTGAACTTTAAAAAACCAAAAAAAAAAAAAAAAAAAAAAAAAAAAAAAAAAAAAATTGAAAAAAAAGGCATGTGTAATTGTTTCTGGACATCCGAGGGCTCGGCCTGCAAAGCAGAGAAAGTTAGCTGTCCCGGGGTGTGACTCGGGAAAGCCTCTTCGATGCTTAAGTTAGCGAATGTACTTTCTAGAGAGAAAGTAGAGAGAGAGTACTTAGAGAGAGAAAATAGAGTGAAAAAGGAGAGAGAATTCAGAAAAAATCTCCATCATTAATGAATGATGAGCTATTTATAGATGTAATTTTCAAGAACTGGGTGCTTTACTTTGCCATGACTAATGATGGGCTGGATCATGGAGAGCTATTTTCGTCATTTTATGTCATTGGGCTTAGGACAATGGACTTGGCCCAAACAGTAATCATGATCAATCTAGCACATTACTAATATTAATGCTAATAACAGTAAATACACACATAAATCAAATCAATTCCTTAACATGCCAAGAATAAAATCAATTTACCAAGAACTGGGTGCTTGCACTTGACCCCACATGCAGAACCTCTCAAGTCCACTCACCAGATTTGCCCCAAGGGGTAATATGTAGCATAATAGACATACTATCTAATATTATGTTCTTATGAGCTTCTGAGCAGAGTGGTTTTCAGCAGAGTAGAGCAATTGTTGTCATTGTTGTTGTTGTTGACAATGTTGTTGCATCTGTTGCTTTTTCTGCTGTTGTTGTTGCTGCTGTTGCTGCGGTTGTTGTTGTTGTTGTTTAATTGTTATAATTATTCATTATCATTATAATTATTGTTACTATTATTATTACCATGAGTCCATGACAAATGCTACTAATGTAGCTTTTTAATTTTTCAATTTTTTATAATTTATAATTTTTTTGTTTCTAATTTATGTAGTTCTTAATTAGTTATAAGTTATTAATTATTAATAATTAATTATTAAATAGAGATGATTTTAGCAAAGTATAACAGCTTAAGAGAACACAACTAAATTGTCTCCTTTGAGTGCATCATACTCGTATAAAAAGGGTATATAATAAACATATTAAGTAAATTTGAGAATTTAATAATAATTACAAAGTAAATGAGAAACTTTTCAGGTTTTCGAGCACGTTTGTTCACTCCTTCGCAACATGTTGTAACACAGACTATCAACAAATCATATCTCCACACTTACAATTAACCTATCATGTATGTTGTACATTATCATGTTGCAAAGCCACCACAAATGCCTTCAAAGCATCAAGGACTTGACTAGCCCGCCTCTAAGCATGTCTAGCAAGGGACAAAAAACAAGGCCCCTAATAAAATGGGGCTTCCAATTTAAATGCTCTATATATGTCAGAATATTGTAATGTGTTTTAGGTAGACATATCAATCGTGTCGTGTTCGTTTTTGTGTCAGAAATTAAACGGGTTGGAGAAGGTTAACATTAATCCGACACATTTAATAAACATGTCGTGTCGTGTTGACCCAATTAATTAATCGTGTTGAAAACTCTCAACACTAACTCGCTTTTTTCGTGTTCGGTTTGTGTCGTGTTGAATTGAAAAATATTGGCCTTATTCAATATATTTATCAATAATTTCATAAACTATTGGGTTTTTATGTTAGGCGGGTTAGGTCGTGTTAATTTCGTGTTGAAAATCTCAACACTAACCCAACCTGTTTAATTAAACGTGTCGTGTCGTGCTGACCTGTTTAATTAAACGTGTTTAAAACACTTGACACTAACCCGTTTTTTTCGTGTTCCGTGTAGATTTTTGCAAGCTCTAGTTTTAGGTAGAGGCTTAGGGGTTTGCAAATGTAGGACAATAATGTCTAGGTTTGGTAAGATGATCAATTCTGTGGTTTTTTTTTTTGGTTTTTATTTTTAATTTATTCTGTTTGTTTTTCATCCTTTTCTCCTAAAAAGAACCTACCTCAGATAGTCAAATGTGAATTACAAAGTATTAATTACAATTCTACATAACATTATTATTATTATTATTATTATTATTATTATTATTATTATTATTATTATTATTATTATTATTATTATTATTATTATTATTATTATTGCTTTCAAAAAAAAATATTATTATTATTATTATTATTATTAATTCAAGTACGTACTTCCTCCGTTTTTCTTTGATTGCACTATAAGGACTTTACACTATTCACATAACCTTGTTTGACCTCCTTTTGTGATATATTCGTAATGAAAAATATAGTCAAGTGGGATCTAGTTGGATTCGTATCCAAATCTACTTTTCAAATATCAACTTTTAATAATTTTTACAAAAGTATAATTAAAGTTATTAATAGCCAAAGTAATGCATTGGCAAGCGTAAAACCATTCATAGTGCAATAAAATTTTTTTTATAGATGAGAATTAGATAAGGGCTTAGTTAGTAGTAGCGTTCTTAAACCTTACAAATAAAATGTTGGTAAAATATAATAATGATCGAATGATGAAAATCATGTTCGAATTCAATTGCTAAAGCAGTTGTATAATCACTTGATTTAGGAAACAACAAATCAATTATTTCGCTTCTAAATTGTTACTTGTTGGTTCCAATAACTTAAGGAAAACGAAATGAAAAATTACTTGATCGGAGATGTCAAAATAATAGTTGCACCATGGTCTATACCCACTGTCTTAGATTTGATGGATTGTATTATTAGGCATCCGTTGATCCTGAACCACCTATGAGATAGGCCTGCCTGTGCCTTCAGGCGAGAAAGAAATATAGGTTTTCAATTTATTAGGAAAGTGATAGTTCTCTTGCAGAGAGAGAGAGAGAGAGTTCCTGGGAGTTGGAGTCTCCAGACGAGTGTCTCTCAAGTGGAGAGATTTTCTTACTCGACCAATAGGGAAGGGATAGGATAAGGCAAGTAAGTTATTACGCTTAGGAAAGTTCCCCGCCATTCATTAAAAAAGGGACTATTCTGTTGAAATCCTAAAGACATCCAGTGCCAATGCAGCGGAGAGTGCCCTTTTCCTTCCTTCTCTTGTAACCGCGGTTTTAGGAAGAGGGGCAGTTGACATACACCTAGTTTCCACTCATGGAGAGATAGCCTATCTAGTTGAAGTTTTAGCTCCAGTAGTCTAGCTATCCTGTTAGAGGTTGTCTAATGGGGGTTGGGCTATGGGCTCTTCAAAAGATCTAGCTTTACTTATTAGCTAATTAAATGAATTCCTTGCCAATCCCAGGGTCAGCAAGACAAGAAGCAAATGCTCAAATGAAGAATGAAAAGAAGCTTTAGCGAGCCATAACAGAGGAACCCGTGTTGAAACTGCCGGATCAACACTCCCTTCTCTCTATCTACTTTCTCAAGCGGCTTAGTTGCATCCTTTCTAAGGCAACAACCTTCGGTCTATAATACTGATGAGACCAGAGCTGAAAGTCAACCCGGGGGTATGAATTGAAGGTATCTTAGCTTGAGAGTCTCCTAGATGTAAGTCCTTACGATGCATGATTTATAATGAATCCAAAATTGTAAATTATTATTTTATTTTTTAATTTGTATTTTTGGATAAAATCTCTAATATCAAACAATTATTTTTTATAATTTAATTAATTTAAACTCTCGATTATTGATATTGCTTTGCTCGATTGAATATTATAATTCTAAATTAAATTGTAACTAGTTCTTGGATCCATTCCATGCACCTAACTAAGCAAGTTATTGCATTGTTATTATCCGAACTATAATTAATAATATTTATATTCTTACTAGGGATTCTCACACACGCGATGCGCACTATAGCTAGTCTTTGAAAAGGCTTTTTTACAATTGGTCGTAGTGAATTTGCATGCTATTCTATTATAATTGTTTGCATATAGAAGATTAGTAGAGTTAGTTTAGATTTAGTGAGAAAGCGACAAAAATTTTTAAGTTCTCGAAAGGTAAATGTTTAGATTTAGAAACGTAAATGTCTTTTTTTTTTGTTTTTTTTAAGGCTGATATACTACTACCTAGGAATACTTATTAGGGAAATGTATTAATAAGAAAAAGAAAGCTTCTTAAACTTATAAATAAGGGCAAATATGTAAACAAACATTTTTATGTAAGAAAAAAGAGCTTTTTAAACTTATAAATAGGGGTAAGTATGTTAATAAACAATTTAAGGGGTATAAATGTCCTCACTTTATTCATAAAAGCTCTCTCATACTCTTAAAAGTAGATAGGGATAGGGAAAAAACGAGCTTCTTAAACTTATAAATAGGAGTAAGTATGTTAACAAACATTTTAAAGAGTATAAATATCCTCACACTATTCATAAGAGATCTCTCATACTTTTTAAAAGGTAGGAATACATAAAATTCACTACTGAATCTCACTTTAATTTTCATTTTTTTGTCTATTATATAATAGTTTGTGAATTATAACTTTTGGTAAACGATAACATGTAATTACGACATCTAAGAATTACTTGAATAGTCCTTTTGTTCTAACCCAATATAATTTTCTAAGCCATTTTATCTATTTTCTTAGCCCAAATCATTTTGTTAGCCCAAAATCCACATATCTAGCCCATTTTCCTCTTTTCATTACTACAGCACAAAACTGATTAAATTTGAATTTTGTGTCTCATAATTTTTATCCAAATCAGAGATGGTTGGATAGATCTTGAAATAAGCTTTCCAATGATATATCATAATCCCAATTCCGATTTGAAACGAAAAAGATATGATCAAAAATACTAAACTCTATCCAAAACTAACACCGTTCCACTTACTTCGATTATATCTCAAATTCTACAAAAGATTTTAATCTGATTCTATTTGGGTTGGAAAGTAAACTTCCAAAGGTTTCCAACAATATATATACATATATTTATTTTATTTCGAATTCTGGATCAAAAGTTATGATAAAAACAAAAACCGCAATATTGTTGACCCGCGCAACGTGTTTTCAAAAATCTATCTTCTTTTAAAATTCTATCTTTACCAGATTTTAATCTTATAAATACATCACTATTTTCTAATTTTTAAGGAGGTGAATTTGACATCCCAAAAACTATTTTTCAGTCCCATACGACCTAAAAAGGCTTAGATGTAAAGCTTTAACGTACAACTTTTATTGTTCTTAGTTTTATTT